CACTTGAAATATAAGCAAACTCAACAACTATGAAACAAGCGATTCCTCGAAACACAACTTTTCTTCTCATTTACGACTAGAATGGTCCAATTGTCCATCCCGCCCCACATGACAAACTACCCTCATCTTGTTGCTGACAAGTGATATGCAATTGTCTACTAATCGCAATGGGTAATTATTTTGAAAAAGTTTATGCTTCAGTCTGCCTATCTCCTGGTTACTGTGGTTTACAGCGGCTAGACACACATTCCTCATTATCATTGAGTGCACAACTCCTATTCTAACAATGTATGCATGAGTGAATGGGAAAGTAATAAGCAAACCCACGTGTATGGTTTTCTAACCTTGCAGTACAGCCTGCATGAGACGGCTTTTCGAGTGGCCAGACTGAAAGACATTGAAAAGGTTCAGATCTTCCATTACCTCAAGCGACCGACAATTTCGCGACCTATTCACTTAATGTGGGATTTTGCCCCAAAACAGGCGACCTGATGAAGTCTGCGAAACAATTCTTCGCATTAAAATCATTCTGCTTTCGCCCCAAAAACAAACAAATCAACAGAAACCGCATTTGCTCAAATGTTCCGGCGACCCTGTAACCATGCCGAATAGACGAATTGATGTTTGGATAGAACTAGGCATGAGCACATCATTTGATACATAATATACAAGCGAATCAGAGTTGGATAGCGAAGGCGGTGTTATTGCGACATGCGTCAACATTGCAGCTTTGTGCGTCTGTTCGCAACCAGGCAGAAGCAGCCGACACATGCTCACTCGGAGCTTAAGGGTCAGCTGTACTGCTCACATTGAAACTGGGCTTGGTCGTCCAGTGCCGCCCAAACTCGGACTAGTTAATGATAGAAAGAGATAGGATGAGTGCCTTGAGTAAAGTTGAATTAATCAAATGCATAGTTTCAAAATGGTAATTGTAACATTTTCGCTCCCTCCACTCGTCCTGCCTGACTACTTTCTGCACTACTTGCTGTATCCCCTTTGGGTTAGCCGTTTGGGGCAACCTTGAACTGGTTGAGAATGTCCTCGAGTTGTGCCTTCAATTGGTCATGCCCTTTGCGCAGGAAGGCCACGTCCTCTTCGGCGCGTCGAGTTGCCGCCGCCAGTCGGTTGGCCTCCTTCTCCTCAAGAGCGCGGATGTTCAGCGCCTCCATTTGGATCTTCTTGCGCAACTGGACGATCTCGCCCTCGAGTTGTTGAATCCGCGAGTCCTGCCAGCACCGATTCGCCTCACGGGCCAGACATTTCTGCAGTCCGAAGACAACACCCGAGGCGTAGATCGACTGTAGAGCGGCCACTGTGCTCATCACCTCGTTGCGAACACGCAACAACAGAAGGCCACGCTCGGCGCACTGAATAGTCATTTGACGGATCAGCTCATCAAACACCTGAAGACCGGAAGGTGAAGGAGAAGATGAGAGGCCTGCAATCAGAAGGCGGGCATAAATGCATTTTGCGCAAACTAAATTTTGCCTACTTAAACTAAATAGTAAGTAGTACGATTATTTAGTGTCAAAAAGTCGCTGATATATATACCGTATTTCCCCATTTATAAGCACCCCCTTTGTATAAGCCACGCCCCAAA